ACCAGGGGCACAGGACCACCACTACCAGGGGCTCCAGGACCACCACCAGGGGCTCGGACCACCATCCAGGGGCTAACAGGACCACTACCAGGGGCTCACAGGACCCTACCAGGGCTCACAGGACCACTACCGGGGCCTCACGGACCACTACCAGGGCTCAGGACCACTACCAGGGGCTCACAGGACCACCAGGGCCAGGACCACTACCAGGGCTCACAGGACCACACTACCAGGGCCCTCACAGGACCACGTACCAGGGGCTCACAGGACCACTACCAGGGGCTCTACAGGACCACTACCAGGGGCTCACAGGACCACTACCAGGGCTCACAGGACCACCACTACCAGGGCTCACAGGACCACCACTCAGGGGCTCTACAGGACCACCACACCAGGGGCTCACAGGACCACTACCAGGGGCTAACAGGACCACTACCAGGGCTCACAGGACCACTACCAGGGGCTGCCCCACTACCAGGGCTCACAGGACCACTCACCAGGGGCTCACAGACCACTACCAGGCTCACAGGACCACCTACCAGGGGCTCACAGGACCACCACTACCAGGGGCTCACAGGACCACTACCAGGGGCTCACAGGACCACCACCAGGGCTCACAGGACCACCTACCAGGGCTCACAGGACCACCACTACCAGGGGCTCACAGGACCACCACTACCAGGGGCTCACAGGACCACCACTACCAGGGGCTCACAGGACCACCACTCACCAGGCTCACAGGACCACCACTACCAGGGGCTCACAGGACCACTACCAGGGGCTCACAGGACCACTACCAGGGGCCCAGGACCATTACCAGGGGCTCACAGGACCACTCAGGGCTCACAGGACCACCACTACCAGGGCTCACAGGACCACCACTACCAGGGGCTCACAGGACCACCACCAGGCCTGCAGGACCACTACCAGGGGCCACCAGGACCACTACCAGGGGCTCACAGGACCACCACCACCAGGCTAACAGGACCACTACCAGGGCTCACAGGACCACTACCAGCCACAGACCACTACTACCAGGGCTAACAGGACCACTACCAGGGCTCACAGGACCACTACCAGGGGCTAACAGGACCACTACCAGGGGCTCACAGGACCACCACTACCAGGGCTCACAGGACCACTACCAGGGGCTAACAGGACCACTACCAGGGGCTAACAGGACCACCACTACCAGGGGCTAACAGGACCACCACTGGGGCTCACAGGACCACCACTACCAGGGGCTCACAGGACCACTACCAGGGGCTAACAGGACCACTACCAGGGGCTAACAGGACCACCACTACCAGGGGCACAGGACCACTACCGCACAGGACGGCAGGACCACCTACCAGGGGCTCACAGGACCACTACCAGGGGCTAACAGGACCACCACTACCAGGGGCTCACAGGACCACTACCAGGGCTAACAGGACCACTCTACCAGGGGCTAACAGACCACCACTACCAGGGGCTCACAGGACCACCACTACAGGGGCTACAGACCACCACTACCAGGGCTCACAGACCACCTACCAGGGGCTCACAGGACCACCACTACCAGGGGCTCACAGGACCACTACCAGGGGCTCACAGGACCACCACCAGGGGGGCCAACAGGACCACTCACCAGGGGCTCACAGGACCACTACCAGGCCCACAGGACCACCAACCAGGCTCACAGGACCACTACCAGGGGCTAACAGGACCACCACTACCAGGGGCCAACAGGACCACCACCACCAGGCTCACAGGACCACTACCAGGGGCTCACAGACCACTACCAGGCCAATAGGACCACCACTACCAGGGGCTAACAGGACCACCACCAGGGGCCCACAGGACCACTCACCAGGGGCTCACAGGACCACTACCAGGGCCAACAGGACCACCACCCAGGGGCTCACAGGACCACTACCAGGGGCTACAGGACCACCACTACCAGGGCTCAAGGACCACCACTACCAGGGCTAACAGGACCACTACCAGGGGCCACAGGACCACTACCAGGGGCTCACAGGACCACCACTACCAGGGGCTAACAGGACCACTACCAGGGGCCGAGGACCACCACTACCAGGGGCTCACAGGACCACCATACCAGGGCTAACAGACCACTACCAGGGCACAGGACCACCACCAGGGGCTCACAGGACCACTACCAGGGGCTCACAGGACCACCACTACCAGGGGCTCACAGGACCACTACCAGGGGCTGACAGGACCACCACTACCAGGGGCTCACAGGACACCACCACTACCAGGGTACAGGACCACCACCAGGACCACTACCAGGGCCACAGGACCACTACCAGGGCTCACAGGACCACCACTACCAGGGGCTCACAGGACCACTACCAGGGGCTCACAGGACCACCACCAGGGGCCACAGGACCACTACCAGGGGCTCACAGGACCACCACTACCAGCCCAGGACCACTCACCAGGGGCTAACAGGACCACTACCAGGGCTCACAGGACCACCACTACCAGGGGCTCACAGGACCACTACCAGGGGCTCAGCAGGACCACCACCAGGGGCTAACAGGACCACTACCAGGGGCTCACAGGACCACTACCAGGGGCTCACAGGACCACCACTACCAGGGGCTGACAGGACCACTACCAGGGGCCTGGGACCACCACTACCAGGGGCCAACAGGACCACCACCACCAGGGGCTCACAGGACCACCACCAGGGCTCACAGGACCACCACCACCAGGGGCTCAAGGACCACCACGGGAGGGGCTACAGGACCACCACTACCAGGGGCTCACAGACCACCACTACCAGGGGCTAACAGGACCACCAGGGCTGGACCACCCACCAGGGGCCTACAGGACCACCACTACCAGGGGCTCACAGGACCACCACCAGGGGCTCACAGGACCACCACTACCAGGGGCTCACAGGACCACCACCAGGGGCTCACAGGACCACCACTACCAGGGGCTCACAGGACCACCGTACCAGGGCTCACAGGACCACCACTACCAGGCCTGGGGACCACCGCTACCAGGGGCTCACAGGACCACCACTACCAGGGGCTCACAGGACCACTACCAGGGCTCACAGGACCACTACCAGGCCCACAGGACCACTACCAGGGCTACAGGACTACCACCAGGGCTCACGGACCACCAGGGGCTCACAGGACCACCACCACCAGGGCTCACAGGACTACCACCAGGGGTCCGGCTACCAGGGCTGGACACTACCAGGCTCACAGGACCACTACCAGGGGCTCACAGGATCACCACCAGGGCGGACCACACAGGGCTTACAGGACCACTACCAGGGCTCATGACACAACCACCACCAGGGGCTCACGGACCACCACCAGGGCTCACAGGACCACCACCAGGGGCTCACGGAACCACTACACCACCACCACCAGGGCCACAGGACCACTACCAGGGGTCGACACACCACCACACCAGGGGCTCACGGACCACAGGGGTCGGATCACTACAGGGGCTAACCCACCAGGCTCAGGACCACCACCAGGCTCAGGACCACCACCAGGGGCTCACGGACCACTACACCACCACCACCAGGGGCCACAGGACCACTACCAGGGGCTCACAGACCACTACACCACCACCACCAGGGCCTCACAGGACCACTACCAGGGCTCACGGAACACTACACCACCACCACCAGGGGCTCCAGACCACTACAGGCTCAGAGACCACTACACCACCACCACCAGGGCTCACAGGACCACTACCAGGGCTCACAGGACCACTACCAGGGGCTCACAGGACCACCACCACCAGAGGCTCACAGGACCACCAAGGACTAACAGGATTCAGACAAGGTAATACCCTTCACCGTCTGGGGCTTCAAACTCACACTCTGGAATAAGCACCAGGTTAAGCCCCAGCCTGAACCTCACACCCTGAAGGATGTACAAACAGTGGCTGCCCCACTTTAACTCCCTCTCCTCTACTCCTCCCTCTTAACCCCTCCCCTAATCCCACCGTCTGCCAGTGAACAGATTTACCTGAGAAATATCTCCTGGAATTATGTTAAAACTCTACCCCAACATTCGTCATCTCTCGCCAGGGGAAATTTTACGAGAAAGAAAGAAAAAAAAATCCACCGTACAAAATATTTCTCCAAACTTATACAATAATTTCAGGATATTTCAGTATACTTTAGTGATACATAAACGCTATATACTGTAATGTAAGGATAATTGTATTTTTTATTCACACTCTTACATACAGGTATACTGTATACTGACTTAACGATGGTAAAATTTGAATTGAAATAAAAATAGCAAAATATGAGTGAAAATAAAAATCGTAAAATATGAGTGAAAATAAAACTCGTAAAATACTAAAGATAACAATAACAAAACAGGAGTTAAAATAAAAACGAATTCAATCTATATCGTCTACATTTACTTCTCATCTGTGGCGTTGAGAGAGAGAGAGAGAGAGAGAGAGAGAGAGAGAGAGACCAACGAAATCCTCCACTACTTGTCAATGATCCACTAACTTCTCGTTTTTTTCTCTTTAACTTGGATCACCTGAAGATTAGGCACCCCACTTATTAATTTAGCCAGAAGATTAACTACTGTAACACTATTCCTGCAAGGGGGTGAGGGGGATCAAGGTTAGGTTATTAATATTAGGTTGAGTTGTATGGTTATGGTTGGGTTAGGTTAGGTTAGGTTGGGTTACGTTTCGTTAGGTTGGATTGGGTTAGGTTAGGTTGGGTTTACGTTACGTTGGGTTAGGTTATGGATTTGGGATTACTGGGTTGGGTTAGGTTGGAGTTGGGTTGGAGATGGGGATTGGGTTAGATTAGGTTATGGTTAATAATATTAGGGTGGTTAATCATCAGGTGGAGAAAATGGGGTATCTATTCTTCAGGTAATCCACTGAATCAAATTACCAGTACTATACATACTCAGATCTAACCTAACCTAACCCCCTCCCGCCCACCATCCCGTGTAAGGCCAGGCGGAGACGCATTAAATAGCGGTATCATGAGAGAGGGAACAGCGGCCAAGATAGTGTTAATGTGGCCGCGTGACGTCCCCCTCCACTTAGAGCCCCGTCACCTTCTTCCCTTGGAGCTCCCGTCATCTTCACCCCCGCCCAGGGCCCCGTCATCTTCACCGCCCAGAGCCCCGTCACCTTCACCGTCCAGAGCTCCGTCATCTTCCAGAGCCCGTCACCTTCACCCGCCAGAGCCCCCGTCACCTTCACCCGTCAGAGCTCCCGTCATCTTCACCCCGCCGACCCCCGTCACCTTCTGCCCCGTCAGAGCTCCGTCATCTTCACCCGTCCAGAGCCCCGTCACCTTCACCCGCCAGAGCCCCGTCACCTTCACGCAGAGCCCCCGTCACCTTCACCCCGCCCAGAGCTCCGTCATCTTCACCCGTCCATTTTGTCACCTTCACCCCACCCAGAGCCCCGTCACCTTCACCCCTTAGGCTCCGTCATCTTCACCCCTTAGAGCCCGTCACCGTGCCGTCGCAGGCTCCCGTCATCTTCACCGCCGTCCCCGTCATGCCCCGCTGAGCACATCGCGTCATCTTCACCCCTTAGGCCCCATCACCTTCACCCCTTGGTTTATCACCTTCACCCCGCCAGAGCCCCGTCACCTTCACCCGCCCAGAGCCCCCGTCACCTTCACCCCGTCCAGAGCCCCCGTCACCTTCACTCCGCCCAGAGCCTCCGTCACCTTCACTCCGCCCAGAGCCTCCGTCACCTTCACCTCACCCAGAGCCTCCGTCACCTTCACCCAGTTCCACTTGTTACCAGAACACACACACATAGAGCTAGCTGTCCGTCCATATGAATGTCACCACTGAACTGCAATTGTGATATGAGTTCTTGCGACCTCGGAGCATATATACATACATACATACATACATACATACTAACTTTACACAGCGAAAAAAAATAATAATCTACAGGCTGAAGATATGGTAGTGTCACTCAGGTCATGAACACAGTGTAAAGTCTGACACCTGACACACTCTTGGACACTAAGGGGGGAGGGGCTTTCTGACACCCCACCTCATACTACTCCACTAACCCTAAGCGTGCTGACACTAGTTGAAATGTGTCATGAGGCCCCTGTCAACTTAAAAATCCTTCCATCACCTGATATATTACTAGAGTCAGCCATTCAGTCAATCCGTGAGCTCTCTCTCTCTCTCTCTCTCTCTCTCTCTCTCTCTCTCTCTCTCTCTCTCTCTCAGAAGCCTCGCTCCTACACATCCTGCGGCCTTTGGGTGTACGTCATTAGGTGTTGAAGCCTCAGTACTGCTGCACTGACATACCACCCATCACCTCACCGAACGCACATCCCTCCTCTCATATGCAATCGTCACACACACACACACACACACACCTACTCCAACACTCACAAATACTCTCTCTCTCTCTCTCTCTCTCTCTCTCTCAACACTCGTCCACCATAGTTCAAGTAACACCTCTTACCATCACGAGTTAAGGTGAAAATGTTATACGATCCTTATCCGAATTAATCTATGTGTGGCCGGGTAAGTTACCGGTTAATGAGGAAAACAACTTGTTCTTGAGTACCAGTTAAGGGGGAAAGAAACAATCAGATAAGGGGGGGAAAATACCAGTTAGTTAAGGGAAAAAAGAACAGTCATTTAAGGGGAAAATACCAGAACCGGTTAAAGGGAAATATAACAACAAAACCAGTTAAAGGGTAAAATTACAACCCGTTAAAGGGGAAATATTATAACCCACAACTCAGCCAGGGAAAAAATTACAACCCACAACTCAGCCAGGGAAAAAATTACAACACCTACAATCAAAGGGGAAATTACAACCCACAACCAGTCAGAGGAAAGAATGACAAGAGAGTTGGTTACATTTGCAGTCTCTCTTGTTGGGATCCAATTCCCTTAGTGGCGTTGTTCACTGCCAGCAAAGGCGAAGGAAATGAAAATGCAAGAGACGTGACGAAGATGTGGAAGAGGGAGAAGGGAGGAAATAGAGGAGGAGGGGAGGGAGGGAGGAGAGGTGGGTAGATAAAGGAGGGAGCAGAGGAGGAGGGGGAGAGGAAGAGAGATAAATGATAAAAGAGGAAGAAGTGAAGAAGAGAAGAATGAAGAGATAGAAACTGAAAAAGGGAGATGGGGAATAATGAATGAAGTAGAAAGAAGGAACACACAAGGAGAGGCAGAAGAAGGTAGAGAAGAGGTGGATAGAGTAAAGGAGTAGAAAGTGAAAACAGAGATAGTGAAGAACAACAACAATAATCAATAATTACAATAACAACAATAATAAAACACTAAAAACAAAACACACACACACACACACACACACACACACACACACACACACACACACACACACACATCAACAATAATAAGCCAGGTATCTGCACTGGTCGTCACCCCAAGCTCACCTGCCAACACCTTAAAATAAGTCTCCCTCAGGATAAAATAAGACCATTAGTACAACCCAACAACAACAACATGCGATTATTAATACCACCAGCTAGTGTCAGGTGCACACACATACATACATACATACATACATAGTTACATACATAAATATATACATACATACATACATAAATAGTTATATAAAAATACATACATACATACATAGTTACATTCATAAATATATACATACATACATACATAAATAGTTATACATAAATATATACATACATACATACATACATACAAAACCTCATTAGCAATGTCGAGGTAGGGAACGAACTGGCAAACAGCGATCAAAGAAATTCGATTCCAGTTAGATTTTCAGGGCAGACGTAAGGAAAATTCCAATAAAGTACCAGATTTCAGAAGGGCAAACTTTGACAGTTTAAAGAGGCAGCTGAGAGAGGGGGTGTCCCGCAAAAACCATGAATCTGACAGATGACACCGACCTGATAACGAGATCTGAGACTGCCGAGTTCCACGACAATTTAAATAGTGAGTTACTTAATGCACAAAGGCAGAACATACCATACAAAAAACTCAGATCAGACAACAATGACCCTAAATGGATATATAATTATTTAAAGAACATCATTGGCCAAAGGAAGGCTATAGGTAGAAGGATAAATCGTGGCGAAATTCACCTCCGGGACTATTATAGGGTATTGGCGAGTAGGGTTAAAACCGAGATAAGGAAAGCAAAGAGGAATAATGAGGTAAGGATAGCAAGGGAAGCGAAGACAAACCCCAAAGGATTCTACCAAATGTATCAAACTAAAACACGAGAAAAGATTGGACCAATACGGTCAGACTCCGGCGAGCTCACTGATAACGACGGAGAAATGAGCAATAATTTGAAAAAATATTTTTCAACAGTTTTCACCACCGAAAATTTAAACATGATACCCGAGGCACCGACTCTATTCAGAGATAGTGAAGAAAACAAATTAAGTGAGACAGTAGTGACTAGTAACGATGTTAGTAAGCAAATAGACAAACTAAAGCCTAATAAGTCACCTGGTCCCGATTAGATATTTGCCAGAGTATTAAAGGAATGTAAGGAAGAGCTTAGTATGCCCTTAGCAAAGTTGTTTAACATGTCCTTAAAAACAGGTGTATAGTACCAGAATCCTGGAGGATAGCGAATGTAATGCCGATTTTCAAGAAGGGGGATAGATCACTATCCTCTAACTACCGCCCAATCAGTCTAACATCAATAGTAGGCAAATTATTGGAAGCAATCATTTCAAACTCTATTCGAAATCACCTGGAGAAGCACCGATTGATCAATGATTCCCAGCATGGCTTCACAAGCGGACGTTCTTGCCTAACTAATCTATTAACATTCTTTTCATCAGTTTTCGAATCGGTGGACGAGGGGCACAATTATGATGTGGTATATCTCAACTTTAGCAAAGCCTTCGACAGTCCCCCAAGAAAGACTAATTAGAAAGGTAGAAGCTCATGGCATCAAAGGTGACATCCTTAAATGGATTAGGGCGTGGTTACAGGACAGGAAACAGCGAGTGAGCATTAACGGCACTAAGTCCCACTGGAGCAACGTCACAAGTGGAGTTCCCCAAGGCTCAGTACTTGGACCATTATTATTTATAATATACATAAACGACATAGATATCGGCATAGACAGCAACATAAGTAAATTTGCTGATGACACTAAAATAGGACGTGTTATCAAATCTGACGAGGACTCGGCAAAACTACAGGAAGATCTAAAAAAAAATTTCGAATGGTCTGAAAAATGGCAGATGAAATTCAACGTCGACAAATGTAAAGTACTCAGTATAGGAGATGTAAACAGGGAAACCAGATACCAGATGAACAACGATGCCATAGAGAAATCCGACTGCGAGAGAGATTTAGGAGTAATGATAAGTAGGAACCTTAAGCCAAGTAAACAATGTGTTTTTGCTCGTAACAAGGCTAATAAAGTACTTGGGTTCATACAAAGGAGTGTTAGTTACAAGACTAGCGAGGTCATCCTAAAACTGTATCTTGCTCTTGTGAGACCACACCTGGATTACGGTTCAGTTCTGGTCACCGTATTACAGAATGGATATAGAATCCTTGGAAAGAATTCAGAGGAGAATGACAAGACTAATCCCGGGCATTAGGAACCTTGAGTATAGACAGGTTAAAGCATCTTAATTTGCACTCCCTTGAAGACGTAGGGGAGGGCGACCTGATAGGGTGTATAAGTGGAAGGCAGGGCTAAACAAAGGGGACATTACAAAGGTACTCAAATTATCCAACCAGGAGCGAACTCGTAACAATGGTTTAAATTAGACAAATTTAGATTTAGGCGTGAAATAGGTAAACACTGGTTTGGAAACAGAGTAGTGGATGAATGGAACAAGTTACCAAATATCATCATTAACTCGAATACGCTGAATTGCTTCAAACATAGGTTGGATGCTCATATGAGCAATAGGGGTTGGGTGTAAACGGGACTGCCCAGTATGGGCCAATAGGCCCGCTGCAGTTTCCTCCATTCTTATGTTCTTATACCTGAATACTAACCTAACCTTAGCCCCCAGGTAGTGTTAGGGGGTTAATCTTCAGGTAAAATAATCAGTGGAGGGGGGGGGGATCTTCAGGTGATTTTTAGTACTACAGTATTCCTACTTCATCTACTGCACCGTGTACACAGCTCTCACTCTACCAAAACCCATGTGTGTGTGTGTGTGTCTATTGGTCACCTACAAACAGTAATGTCTACAGTATATAGGTCACACCCGTAGACAAATTATCTGTGCCAGTAATATAAATATGTGTTCGTGTGCCAACTGCGCCTTGACCGTAAACACATGCAGAAAAAATTTGTGTGTGTGTACATCACACCCTATATAACAAGAGCAAAGTATGTACACAATTCAGCCCCGTCCACACCTCATGTAACGCCGGGTATCCCATACAAACCATGACCTTCCAATATCAATTTCATGCACTGGAATTATTGTACCCTGATCAGACAAATACACACA